ACGAAACCGGAAAAACCTGTAGGTAAGCTCACGGCGGGGACTGGATATGAGTAAGACCGCAAAGTATCTCTGAGATATTTTGAGTGTCAATCATTTTTAACACACGTGTTAGATTGCCAAAGTAAAAGTAGCCTCCACCGCAGCCGCTGTTAATCAAAATCTTTTGACTCACGTAAGATCAGAATGCATCGTCTCACTCTATTCTCTATTAAGGTATACTTTGCCCAACTGCGTGCAAGAACTGGCTAGAAAAGGGATTTTGTTTCAAGTTAAAGAGCCGTTGCCGTCGTACGTGCCTTGCAAGAGGCTGTGATACAGCACCCGTGAGATTGGACGGTAAGAACGTACAATAGCTGTGTTCCTGAGCGGTATCCAACGAATTTCCAGGAAAAAAATATGCAGAAAAAACGCCAAACTGCGAAACATTTGCACAAGGTTGAAAAATGTACAACGCACAAAGAAGATTCGATTGTTGGTCCGATTTAATAATAATGATAATATGAAAGTTTTTTGGACGCAATTATAAAATCTCATTGCGTGTACAGCTATCGATATACATTTTAAAGCTTTGTTCGACACATTTGTACAAGGTTGAAAAATGTACAACGCACAAAGAAGATTCAATTGTTGTAATGATAATGATGGTTTTTTGGACGCAATTATAAAATCTCATAGCGTATACAGCTATCAATATACATTTTAAAGCTTTGTTTATTTTTTAAACATTGTAGGATTTTGCGGTAATCCGATGGGAGCAGGATGGGATTTCAAGCTGCCAGACACTGCTTTCAATGCTTCTTCTGTCCTAGAGAATGGTGGGTAACATTGTTTTTAAAATGTGCAGCGACGCCATCTTGTAGGGCAGCAAAGCATGATGGGAGTTGTAGTCGTAGCCCTTCTTGTACCCGATTTTGCTCTATCTTTGTAGAAATAGTATAACTACTTCTATTTTTTGCAAAGAAAAAGCAAAACGGCTTTAGGAGGGTCGTAATAACTAACATGAAAAAAGTGCAAGTGGACTTAAAAGGCCCATTGTGCACCATTATGCTTTGGGGCCCTCGGGCGGCCATTTTCAGTTTACCGAAAGTCTATAAATTGTACTGTGCGTTTCGAATCTTTGACCATCTCACTTTTGTAAACACTTTAAACGCAAATATTAGAGTTTTCAAACATCTGACATTCGTTTTATGGTGATATTTGGATTCTAGAAGTATTTTGGCGTAAATCATAACAATAACAGAGGCGCGCTAAGCATAATAGTGCAAACTGGGCCTTTAAGCGCCAACTCCTGTGATTTCTAACCCAATAACGATTCTTTACCGTGATATATGTAAACGCAAACGTTTTTAAAAGTCGTAAAGTACAGCAGGCGTAAGTCATAATTTTATGCWYACAGGTGATTGGGATTTTGGGGCTCGTAATGCTCGTTTGTATAAAGAAGACGACCCGGTTTATCGTAGAGTCGGGGCGTGGTGCGCCAAGGAACAGCATGATCAGTGGTTACAAGTCGACTTGGGAAGTGTGAAAATAATAACTGCAGTAGCAACACAAGGTAGAGCCTTCCTACGTAAACATCTATAACCTTATGCACGTACCGGTGACACCTCCATATGTTACATATTCCTCTATGTCACGTGCATCTTTACTGACACGTCTGGTCTTACGTGCATCTCTAAAGCAGGAACAGACACCTCTATGTTACGTACACCTTTATACTAGCGGTTCCTATCGAAAGTGAAGTGCTGCGGTATGTGATGCTTGTTCAAATTGGTTTTAGGTTTATTTGATTTTATGGAGGGAGAATACATGGCAAAAAGAAAGAAGATTAGAACGTATATGTACACTTTATTACAGACCGTATTTTTTTTATTTTCGGGCGATTGTTTTGATTTGTTTGCCTCGTCGGGCGATTGATTTGATTTGGTTTGTTTGCCTCGTTGGGCGATTGGTTTCGCTGGTTTCCCTAAATGTGCGATGGAAGTTATGTCATCGGAGACCATAGGACTCGACCTGGCAGATAATTCAGAGAAATAGTCTCTTTATCAGGTATAGAGCGCTTTTCGGAATGCTGTTAAAAAGATCTCCTTCGGCCAAAACACAATCCATCGTATCTGTCGTCCACGTCGAAATATCATCACAATGTGCAAAGAACAAAGCTGAAAGACTCACAAAAGCACATTGTCTTCCTCTAGAAATGTCGCTAAAACGATTATCACCTTAATGAATACTTCCTCGAATAAAGAGATCGAAAAGCAATAGAAAGACATTGCAGTTTACGGCGCATCCTTTCATAATAACCGCTGATTATGTAATGTTTACTGTAGGCGCTCGAAGTGTCTATCGCTAGCCCACTAAATCGACTTTCGTCTTCAGTATGTATGGCACAGGGAACCCAAAAGGCCTGCGGGATTAGTGTCGCTGCTCACTTCGTTCGCAGCAATTACGGACACGTCTGGTCTTACCATCACCTCTATAGTAGGGACAGACACCTCTATGTTACGTACAACTTTATATTGCCGACACGTCTGGTCTTACGTGTGCACCTCTGTAGTAGGGGCAGACACCTCCATGCTACGTACACTTCTGTCTTACGTAGACTGCGATTTACGTACAACTTTATGTACTATACGGACACCTCTATCTAGCACTACACGTCCACTTCCATCTAAAGCGCTCCTCCGACCTACTGCCAATTTTAAATTACGATTGCTCTTAGGACTTCCTTTAACGGCGCGATATAATTATAAATCATATTTTACGATTGCCTTTCAGGTCGAGATCAATTCTTCGAGCATGTAAAGTCGTACGAGCTTGGTTTTAGTAATGATGGTAAAACGTTCTATAAATACAAAGAGAAAGGAATGGACAAGGTAAAAACCTTACTTACAGATCGAGTCTTAGTACTACATAGCAGCATAGTGACTCTGTCTTACAATAGGAGTAACCACAAAAACTGACAAGCAGAAATAGATTTTAGTAACTTATCTGCAGGTAGCGCATCACTATTCCTTTCGAAGCGTTTTTACGTTTGTTTGAAATTTTGAGACAAAGCATARAASMCAATTTGAGGTTTGGCGTTTKCAGTAAACGTGAATCTAAAACTCTATTATTTTCATCATTATAACCTAATGACTAACTCCTACGCWTCCAAACCAATGTGGTAGATTTAGAAAGGATATAACTGAATTTGGCCTTTTGCTATTCTAGATTCTCCGAGGAAACTGCGACCATTTTACACCAGCCATTAATCCYTTACACAGACCTCACGCTGCYCGATTCATTCGATTTTATCCCAAAACTCACAACAATATTTGTATGAGAGTAGAAATCTATGGTTGTAATCATCTAGAAGGTGCGTACAAAATTAACGGATAACGTAATGTGCGCGCAAGCTAAGCGAGTTGTCAAGCAGGGYATATGTTTGACCCTTCGAGGTAGAATTTCAGTTAAAAACCMAAARKTT